GTTGTTATTGTCTTTGGTATTGTGTATGATATTGGCTGTCTGCTTTCTCTGTTCCCTTTTTGTTAGATTTTAAATAACATGCTCACAGCAGGGTACTCATTCCGATTCTTTTTTTGTTGTAAACCAGCAATAGAAAGACAAGGCCACAGAAAGGAACTGAAAACTTATAAATAAGTCCGTGGTACTCCCCAACAACCTCAGAGAAAGTCACCAGTGATGGGCATAAAACTGGAGCAGCAGCTTTAATAAAGCAACACACACCTAGCCTCACTTAATAAACGTGGTGTGTACAGGTTAAAACCCATAACAGTGGATTGCCAGTTTAGCCTCTTTGGATGTTTAAAACTGAGGAATGAGTCATGGCTTTTGAGGAGTAAGGTTAATTCTGCTTACTGTTAGGGCGAAGCTTAGAGTGTCAAAGACGACATTTATATCTATTTAAACATGCTTAAGAGAGTATTACTCAATTTTAATCCCTTTTAAATTAGCATTAGGGCTGCCTTGGGGCCCTCCTTCTACCTATGAAATGGTTGTCAAGCCATCTGAACTACAGGAATATTAATCTATATTACTGTAGGCAGGAGTCTGAGGGTCTTCACTGCATTGATACAAGATTAATCCACTTGACTGCCGAGTTATCTTAATAACAACAATGCTATTGGTTTTTTTATATGAAAGGACTTTTAAGGTGTTGCAGGTTTAAAATAGTTGATTGAGATCATTAAATTTGCCAGTTTCCTATTAGCCAAACCCATTAGTCTTGTCGGTTAGAACATTGAGATCCAAGATACCTGAAATAAAAGCAATCCTTTGAGTTTAAATACAGTTTTAATAAAAACTGCAGGTTTTCTTCTAAATTTCTTTGAGTTACATATCAAAGACAAACTATATAAACAAGCTCCCTGTGACAAAATCAAGTTAATGGAAATTCTACTTAATCACTTAACGGTGAATTGCTTAATCATTGGAAAATAAGTTAAAACTGAAATCTATCTACAGTGTATTTAGGCTATAGTGAATTCCAACATTATTTGTTTACAGAATGCCCTATTAAGTTGGTTTGGGTCTTTATGTACAACTCTTACACAGTATGCACTGGAGGCACATTGTTTTTGTACAGTAGGTACTGTATTATTGCAGTGTCAAAAGGTAGTGACAAAATCTGTATTTTTATTTTGGAATAAGTTTTAACAGCTTGATTGGAAGCAGAGATTCATCTGCTATAAGTTCTCTGTACATACATTTAAATGATTTAGAACTATAATACTAGATTCAAAATTCAGTTTAAGACAGGATCAAGTTAGGCTTATTTTTACAATTCTTTCTTGTTTTTGCCTGAGAAATCATTCCATCTTTTCTAAACAATGTTGTGGCATGAAAGATACACATGGCATGGGTCAAGTAGTTCATTCAAGCCAGAAATCCCTACTTTAGAGCTCATGGTATGGCAGAGACATTGAAAGCCAACCACATCTACAGAGCCCGCAGACACTCATTCGGGATGAGATTTAACTTTACAGCAAAGCATTGCATAAAACTGATCCCGCATTGATTCAGAAAGCCTTGCACAATCCTGTGGCCATGTGGAGACAAGCATGGTAATAGAATAAAATAATACAATTTGGGTCTAAGTGACCATACTATGAAGTTGTGGAAGCAGTCCCTCAGGTGGTTTCTCTGAAAAAGTCAGCTCTGTAGTTGACTCTGTAAATACAATACCTAAGTCTGTGTTGGTTGCAGTGTGGAAGGACTAGTGGAATGTAGTGATGCCGATTGGATGGCCCTGAATGCCTTAGTGATTTCATAGTGCAGTGTTCCTATCCAGCACTTGTTCCCTCTCTTTTTCACAAAGTCATTGTATTGAGGCCATGTGATTGACACTAGTGAGCCTGTGTGTGTATTGTTCATGCCGATATTGCCTTTGCAAATTCATATAAGTACATGTGTTCTACCACACATGAGTTTTCACACTTGTCATTTTATATGCAGTGTGTAATGAGAAGAATAGGGAATATGAGCTCTGACATTTTCTTAAAACATCATAATCTCCCATAATATCACATTTAAATGAGTTAATTGGTTGGGATAACATAGATAATAAATGTTTCTAAGTTTTTTCAGCGTATCCATCTGTGTATATGTATATGCCTTTAAACTGAGGAGATCTAAGTCCTCAGCACTGGATTTTTTTTCCATTAGTGTTTTGGGCCTCTGAGCTACAGATGGTCACTGTCAAAGTGACTGGACTTAATATTATTAAGTGCACAATTTTCCAGAATTGTCAGCTGTGCTTTGTGGTCTGCATAAGTAAAGGGGGAGAGCTTTGATTTTTATTTTTTTTTTGGGGGGGGGGTTAAGGCTGAAACATTGAACAAGCGACCCAAAACACAAGTGGATTGCTTTCCAATATTATAATTCAGAATTTAAAAGAGAACAAAGCTGATATGTTCTTCATTGCAACAGATTTTACTCCTGTTTATCTAGGATTAGAAGGTTTTTGAAAACAAAAACATACAAATCATCTTCCTAAATGAGTGTGATGCTGATGGATATTCTTCCTAGGTCCTTTGAGAGCTGTAAAACAAATGCCCTACTGGTAAGCTGTTCTGTTAATTTTATTAACATTATATCCCATTTAACTGCCCTGTATCAACAGGGGCTTGACACAGCTGTTCCACAGGAGAAGCAGCTTTGGTATACAGTAAACAGAAACTTCTAAATGACAGGCCACCTTTAAGGCTGTTCTTGTACCTTTAAAGGGATGAGAGAGAGAGCAGTACCTACTGCCTAGCACTGAAGTTGTTGCCCACCTTTTACAGAGAATTTTATAGTGATAACTGGTACTATATTAGAGGCTTAATCAAACGGTTTCTGCCTGGACATATGGATTAAAATCCCAAAATGGCTCCTAAATAATGGCTTCACCCTAGGGGGATCCAGTCCCTTCCTGTCCCTGCACAGCAGTCCACTCAGCTGTAAAATTGGGTACCAGCAGGACCTCACCACACATAAAACTTGGCATCTCTGGGAAATAATCACCCTAAATAATGCATGAAGATTAAAGAGACATCAGGGAGATAGTGGGTTTGTAACATATGCTGATTTCTTTTTTTATTTCCTTTTTTTACTTTTACATTTTAGACTTTAGACAAGTTTTGCTGGGGGTGGTGTAGTACTGTCTGGACACTTCCGAATGTCTCCTCCCAGAAAACGTCTTTCATTCTCATCCGAGACTAGTGACAAGTCCAGCTTTGTTCCGTTTTGCTTGTTTTACTTCAAATTACAAGGGGTTTACTTTAAATAAACACCTTGCCAAGCTGAGAGAAGCAATCAAACCATGCATTAAGACACTCCCGAGCAACTTCATTTAAAAAACAAACAAACCATGAAGCCCATTCTTAACTTGTAGCAGACTGTTAGAAAGTATCCTATAATGGCTGACACAGGACTTGCAAGATTTTGTACACTGTAACATTTTGTGTTAGGAAGAGCAAGGGAAGGATAAGCTGTAAGTGTCCAGTGTATGAGTGATGAATGGTGATAACTTAGGCCATTCATCTCCTGCTTAGAGAGTGGACACGGGTGCTGTTTTTACCAGGGCATGTCAGCAAGTGTGATAATTTTGTAATCTATCAAGGAAGCTCCGGAGACAACATTTGTTCAGTGTGTCATTGGAATAACTGCGTAATTTCATGCTTTTTTTGTCATTTAGGACCTTTGTTTGGTTAAAAGGTCTCATTTTTTTTATTTTAAGGAAAAATTAGTGTCTAGTATTTAATATACAAAACTTTGTTTTTTGGGCTAATTCCATTAGTTATTCATTGATTTTAATATTCCTAGGGACTAGATGAAGTACTTTTTTTCATGGTACAGTAAAAGAAGAGGCTTACAAGCCTAGCCACATTTGTTGTGAGTCTGTGTGTTGCGTTCTGTGAACGATTAAGGAATGATCTTGCCTCTCAAGACAAGCTTAATTGAAATAGTTATTACATGTTGAGTGTAAAATGCTTTACATATATTTATTAATAAAAGTGGTAATGACTGTCTCAATGAATGTTTGAGGTATGATTTACATCTTGGTGTACTTTAGTTTTACATTTAAATTAACATTTGTACTTGTTTTCATTGTAGGTCAAATTTGTTTTTCCACTCCTAGCCAAACAGTTTGTTGAAGTAATTGTTTTAAAAGGCATACAGGACATGTGCTGAATTAACTTTTTTGATAGTCATATTTGTAAAGGAAGTTTAATGCCATGCTTGTTGTAACTCACACACTGTACTGCATGTCTAATTATGTACGCCTCAAAAGACACTTTGTTTAAGACCTTGAAAGACACGCTCCTTAATCTTATGACTATGAAGTGACTGTTGTTCATTCTGCTTCATTTTAAAGGTTTTATATTTCCTTATGGGTTTGTTTTTTTCCTTCTTTTAAAAGGTGTGTACTTAATCCTTTTGAGTCATGCCATTAAAAAATATCCTGATCATAATCATAAGAAGAAACATTTAAATATATATATATTTTATATATATAATTATTATATATGATAGTGTTGGTATATGATACCATAATATTTTAAATAATGTGTAGTTAGGTTATTCAAAAGGCTATCCTTCAGAGACTGTAAGTTTGTTGACATTTTTATATCTACATTTTAAACTTTCTTTAAATTCGTATTTTGGCAAATACAAATGTTACTAAGTACCAATGCATTGGCTGTGTTTATACTGTACTGTATGTTTTAATATGTGCAGTGTTTTGTATAATTTCAGGTTGTCATATCCTTTGTAGCATGTTTGCAATGATATTGTGTTCACAGCGTTCTTTAAAAGAGATTATTATTATTATTATTATTATTATTATTATTATTATTATTATTATTATTATTATTATTGCAAGACTGAAACAATAGTTTTTGATGTTTTGTGCCATAGGGAGTGCTTGAAGGATTTTCATACATATTATCCATTAGTAACTTTTTTCTTTTTTTTTCCTACAGAATCATCCAAAATCGTGTCCTGATGTTTGTTCTGGGGGCTATCATCCTTTTCACCATCGTGCTGGCTATTTATTTTTCTGTCAGAGGACACTGATTCGTCTCAAATCCCAGTGTGATTAATAGCGACAAAGCATTCGTTCGGAGTAATTAGGACAAATTGGTCACATGAATCATTCTTTTGCACTGACAGAACTCTTTCCTCCTAAGCACACATTGACTCAGGTGCAAGTGCAGTTAAGGAAATGTTGTAGTTTTTATCATTGCATGGAATCCTTTTTACCGAAAGAATTGCTGTGGTGGTTGAAGGCCTGAGAAATTTTGAAAGGTACAGAGTGATCAGTGAACAGTGGAACCTGTCTATGGTTTTGTGGATTGTATTTGTGACTAGTGTGTACGTTTCAATTCTTCCAGTTTTTTTGTCTGTGTGTGTTCGAAATAAGAATAATATTGTAGTACCCAGTCTAAATTGCACATAGAAAATTTAGATAAGACGACTTCAAATAATGCACCATTTTGGTGGGTTTCATCATGTACAATATTAATGTCAGCACCCATGTACTTTATGAACACCATCAAACTTAATGCAACGGTTTCATGCACTTCTCAGTATACAGACATTTTAGTGTGATCTGAAATTGTAAGCAGTTTAGCCCAAACAAAGGTCAGTGTAATTAAGAAAGAATGTTTCCCCTCAGATATAGCCTGATTGCCTTGCTAGTAAATAAGCTATTAATGAATGAATTGTCTGTTTCCCATGATTACCATGTTTTTAATTAGGTAAGAAAAACAACTATGTGTAGTGTTCTTTTTAGGTGAGAGGTTTTTCCATTTAAAAAACTGTGACCATGTACCAGCATTTAGCTACTGTATGTGTATGTGTGTTCCAACAGACAAAACAAAACTGCTGACTTGGTTATTTAATAAGGATGGAAAGAACTAAATGATAAATGTGGCCTGATAATCCTACTCACTCTTCAAAGTGTTGTTTAAAGACAGATATAAACGTACATTTGGTGGAGAAAGTCAGAGACCTAACTGATATTTATTAGGAGGAATTAAATACAGTACAGCTGTAACAGGACCAAATTGTAACTATCCTGTGTGTAAAATAGAGAGGAGTGTATTAACATATTTTATTATCATGCCTGCAAACGTGACTCCATTTTCCTGTCAATTAGTGTGTCATCATTGTTCTTCTCTCCCTGCAGTTTCATTCATTTCCTTTTATTTCTGATGCTTGATGTTAACATATTTGTTTAACCTGCTGTCTAGAGGCAGCAGCCTGTATGTAGAAGGGTATCGTTCAGAATATACTTCTGCTGATCAAATCCCCTTTTCTGTCTTCAAGCCAAGAAAGCAGACTTAGTAGGGGGTGTACCAAATTATGAAATCTTGCAGTTGAATAAAAAGTTATTAAGATTTTAAACACTTAATAACAGAATTGTGTGCATATGTAAAGAGGTTGCAAAGGATGTAAAGAAAATGCTATCAGGCTGACGTCAGCTGTAAAAAGGCCATTTGGTATTCTGTTTAAGGCAGGCCGGATTGTCTTATTTTGGAACCAGCTTAGTGGGGGGCTTTCTTTGCTGCAGCTTCAGAGCACCAAGCTTCAAAGGCTGAAATTAATGGCGAACAAAATTGTGCAGCTCTGTCCATCCCATGCGGGGCAAACCCGTTGAGAGGTATCATTAAGTTGAGGAATAATATAGGGAAAAAAAGGAGAAGAAGAAAAAAAATCCTGACAGTATGAGAAACCTCATCAGATAATGACCTCGGTGATTGGTTTTTCATTACCTTACAGCATTGAGAGATTGTCTGCCCCATAAAGAAAAAAATGGCTTTTTGTGTGTGTGTGTGCATGCGAGAGTATGCGAGTGTGTGTGCATGCTGTACTTTTTTCTCTCTCAACCTGTCAGATCATTTCAGTATTTCAAATCCAAGGAAAACAGCGTGGCTGCTGCTGTATTTGAAGTTGTAATGGTGTCAAAAAGTCACGACTGACTGACAGCCGTCAGTCCCAGAGGAGCTCATTAAATCATAAAAACTTGACAAGGAAATAATTGAGCATCACCGACAACTTGGCGCCCGTTTAGATGTTTTTATTTTCTTTCATTATTAGTCCCCGCTATTATGTTCATTAAGAAATTGCATTAAACAACTGTTAGGGGGGCTAATGATTTGTTTATATCCCCTTTTTTATTATTTAAACATTAGCTGTGTCATGTGGTACCTTGGCAGACTCTCACTATCATCTGGTTGAATTTTTTTTCTCCCTCTTGGAGCTGCGGGTGCCTTTGGAATATGAAATAGATTATTCATTACCCTCCTCCTTGCGACTGATTTGGTTTCATGTAGCGTCTTCCATGGAGAAAGATGAAAACTTGTCAAAAATAGGTTATATCTTATTCTAAGGGGCAACAATAGCAGCAGGTACAGACACACTTTAATATTTAATTAAGCTTGATGTTAACCCCTATAAGTGACTTTAGCTGTGAGTAACATACAAGTGCAGGAGAGGAAATAATTACTCTTAATTTGCAAGCTGGACCACAAGCAATCTTCCCTGTAATCCAACTGAATGTATGGTATGTGTCACCAGATAATAAATTATCACAGGATTAAAAATTAAGACCTTGATTTATTTGCACTATTATCGATAATGTGTTGCTGATCATAGCCTAAACTAAGCTTTCTTCCTCTTCTAACATAAATGGAGAAATCTAAAAAAAATATAGCAGGAGATTATTATGCTAGCAAGCAGTGGTAGTGTACTGATATGATTATTAGACATAATGTAGTTTTGTTGCCGGTTCTCACTGGTTCGCAGTGAGAAGAAATCCTAGACAGGTATTAACATCTCTCATGTTGCAAAACTTGAATGTGACTTGACACGTTAGTCTAAATTAATAGTACATTTTTAAATGTTTGTGAAGATGTACTAACTAACGCGCATTAAGGTCCAGCACTCCAAAAGAAAAAAGCGCAAGTTTGTTTTTTCTGAATTTACAGCATCATATAGAAAAGTAGTGGTGGCGTTTTTTAAAAAATCAATTGAGGCCATAACAATACAAAACTGAGTGAAACCGTGAATCGTTCAACAGCCAACCCCTACTGGCATGAGTAAGTGTCCATTATTTGTTTACAAGCTGTCTACTTAGAAGTCTCCTCTTCCTATGAGTGACGCACATGTCCAGAATGGACCTAAGTGATGACGGTACTTGACGGTGCAGATCAGTTTGCGTCTGCTGGCTTTCTTATCCAGTTGACAGCAGTTGTGAGGTTCCCCGCAGTCTGAAGCTGGAGTAGAGTTCTTTTTGTACTCTGTACATAAGGAAAGAGTTAAACAGGCTCTCTTTTCTCTCTTTGCTTATTTTGCTCATGAAATTATAATAACTACCTGTCCTTTTGCAGAAGATGTGTCTACAAATAACCTAAATGGTTTTCTGCTAAAAGTCATGGAAAAATTAAAAATGCACCACAGTTAAAGTAATTGAAATGAAATAATCTACTGACTCATCAATAATGTATTGGGTATTTTGTGTTGTTCTGTTCTGTTTTTTTTCCAGTTTTAACAATCCATGTAACACTTCTGCTCTCTTGTGTTTATAATTTTAACCATATTCAGTACATGCAATTCCCATTCTAGACTGTTTTACTTTTAGTCATGAATATACTAGATCTGTGGAATGCGTATGTTGTACAGTGCTGTCATTAAAAGCTGTATTGTGTTAAGTAAAAGACAAGAGACTCGTGTCTTTTTTATGTTTCATAGTTTTCATTTTGGCTGGTCTGAGAAGCGCTTTTCATTTATTATCACCCACATAAAACCACAGTTAGATAAGAAAGTTAGTTTACATTTTTTTTGTTTCATGGCTTTTGTTAAAGGGCTGAATGCTAAATACTGTCGCCTCAGCAGATGACAAATGGTGGTATAATATTTGAATACTTTGTGTTTGTTAAACATAAAAATGTAGCCTGACTAAAGTGCATTTTCATCAAGGTGACAGAGAATCCTAATTAGAATGGCCAGGCCGTTGTACACCATTGGTCTTGCTTAGATTTACAATAAAACCTTACTTATAACAATTAATTATAATTTTAAATGAATGCCAAGTAACACAGTTTGTCTGACAATCACAGAAAGGGTCTTTCAAGTAATCAAATTCAAAATAATAATTGTGATACTGTCTCAAATTAATAAGAAACAATAAGATGTCATCTCTGTCTCAGGATGTCAGCTTTATGCTCACTGTAATTTGTTTCAACCCTGCCAGCTCTCAACTGCCCAACAGTGAAGCCTGGCTAATACATCCATGGTATTGAACTGTCTCATACTGGAGTCAGCTTAACATTTCTATTAGATATTGGGTGAAAAACTGCTACAGGGAAACAGATCTTCAGTCTTACCTCATCAGTTGTGATGTGACTATTTTAGTAAAAAGGGGAAGATTCAGCTCAAATTTGAATACATTTTAAAAATATTAAACAGCATAAAACAACCAGAGAGTCGCTGGAAAAGTAATCCATGTGTTTGGCATTCAGGTACATTCAGAAGTCAGATTTGTGGTAAAGGAACATCTGCTAAGGAGGACAGTCTACAACTTTTACATTTCTAAAAGTTTGTTTTTCTGATAACTGTTTTGAGTGAGGTTCTATTCAGAACAGACTAAGAGGGGGAAAGATCACAAAACCCGTGGAAGAGGTTATGACAATGGAGAAGACATTCAGACTAGCAGTTCTGATCTTCAGCACCTAATCGGCATTGCAGCTCACTTATTCACTGTATGATTATGATTATTCTGGCTGCTGAAGTAATAATTTGTTGAAGATACGGTTTTTGGGGTACTTTGGCATGCATACGATAAAATATTGGTTTCATTTTTTGTGAAATGATTTAGAATTCTTAACAAATATGAGAAAAATATGAGAGAAAATGTCAATTTTTCATATTATCGTGCTCTTGCATGAAGAAAATGCAAATGTGTTAATTTAATAACAGTATCCTTTATTGGATTAGATTTATACTATGTTCTGTGGTATCATTAAACCAATCTCTAGTTTAACATTTTTTTTTAATCCCTATATGTTTACAACTCAATTGTGTTGTCACATGCCATGGATAAAGGCATCAACAAAAACAATATATTGTTAATCATAAAATCTAATATTTCATATTTGAACCCTAAATGAAAACTGCACCAGTTTTTTTTCTATAACATTATAGATTCACATTTTTAATGTAAAATTGCCATATCGGATATTCTCTTGTATAAACCCTACAGTCATTATATAATGCACCTAAAAGGAGTATTACTTTATTGCTTTTAGATATTTATGCTCACGTACAAAGCTATATCAGCTTTAGGTCCTGTTTCAGCAACACACAACTGTTCATCCTGATTTTAACTTTACAGCCATTAGAAAATGCTGTGTGAGGCTTGAAGAATTCTGTCATTTTGTAGCTGTGTAATGTCATACACATCAATGGAAGCCATGTCATCATGTTCTTTGAAGAACACTAAATTCCTTTTGTCTTAACTGAGAGCTTAGATGAAAAATGACTATTTCTCAATGCACTTTGTACAGGAGCCTTGTGGTGCCTGGCCTGAACTTGGTAAAAGCATGTCATTTGAATTCCATTGTACAATCTACTTTGCATGTGATGACTAACCAGTGAAGTCTTAAATGTCCTACTGGGAAGTCTCAGTGAAATCTGCATCTTCAAAAGGCAATAGCATTCATGTTTCTTGAAGCTTGAGATGTAAGCTTAAATTCATTACCCGGGACATCCTTCTGGAAATAGGAGTCAATCAGTTTTGATGGGGTGGTCCTGCCCTGATTGGCAATTGAAGAACGTTCTAATGAACTGGGCGGGTGCTTCGCTTAGTCTATGAGTACCTAAATGAAAGGGAATGGGATTGTGTCTTCTATTGGTCCAAGAACATAAGCATCAACGTCCATATGATTGTGCCTTCATGAAGAAAGAGAGAGTTTCTGCGGCCACTACTGTTGCTGTCGTACTGGGGAGGGCAAGTGAAGGAATCCCTGGTGATGCTTCCCAGACAGTGCTGAAATATGCATGAAGAGGAGTCCAATCGGAGGGCTCCTGTTCTGTTTCACAGGGAAGGAAATGGAATTTGATTCACACAGACCTCATATGGGTTGGCATGCAGGGTCAAGTGAATGGATGGTTCAAAGGTTACCGGTCTGTGTGATGTCCTTTTATTCTATCTCTGTAACAATAAAAGCCAGCTGTAATAAAGCTGTGAAGGAAATCTTAACACACAGCAAAAAGGTTTTGTGTATCATGCTAATTTGTCTGAGTTTGACAGACTTTATCCTATTCTTTAGTCTAGAGCAGAGGTGCCCCAACCCAAGGCCTCTTGGTCCACAGTGCTTCTGGGTTTTGTTCCACACTGAGTGCTTAACTATTTGATGTGACAAATCATTTACATAAAGAGTTGCAATAACCTTTACCAGGTCATTTGACAAACAGCAAAAAAGTATAAAACCCCTCAATCTTTTTTTACTCTCTCCCTACAGTTAGACAGATTTGTACCTGTACATCTTTGCACCTATAGCCATGAGAGAAACAATGCACATTCAGTATATAAACGAACTAGAGTGTGTATACCTCAGTGCAACAAAATGTACAACTTTTGTTCATTTCAAGGATTTTGATCGCCCAGGCGAATAGACATGGTCTATTGATTTTTCCCTTACAATGACTCCTGGATTACCTATTTTCTCATTCATTTTTAAAGACAACTCATGAGATTTTACAGCAATTCTGCCCAACCTTCTAATATCAAAATCCCTCCTTGACCCTGAAAATTGTAATTCTGCTATAGATCACAGCTGCTGAATATTACCTTTTACTAAAGTGGTTAAATAAAATATGTCCAAATCACTAGATCCCACAAGCCGCGACTGAAATTCTAATTAGAACAGCATAGAGCCAGCAAGGAGTTGAAATATCTGTTCATATTGCTTCAGAGTTAGAAAAAGAAAAATATAAATTGAATGAAAATGCAGCTAATACAGCTAACACATGTCAATAAAGAAAAAGTAGAAAAGAAAATGTTTACATTGAAGGGAGTGCTGGAAGATTGTCTATGTAGTAAAACTGTACAGAAGGTACAGAAAGTAAAATAGGGGCTAAAATATAAGATGCATTGAGAAACCATTTAGTTTTGAATAGAAAAGCATTCATGTGTTTCTCCACAAGGGAAATACACATATGGTATTATTGTAGAGGACTTTTCCCCTCTTCATTTCCATTTAACCCAGATTACATTTTTGTATTTTTTTCCTGATTTTTTCCTGATTTTTTTTAGTAGACAAATTTGCTTAGCTGTATGAACCTCAATTAAGTGAATCAACTTCAATGTATATGCTTCAAAGTAAAAAATATGAAGAGAGAAAAGTGTGCACAACTTTCTGAAAGAGGTTTTCACAGTCTGTAGAGTATATTCTTCATTCAGAAAGCATTTATTACAAAAATATGTCTTTGTTCCTTTATTGATTATAAGTTGTATTTCTTCATTACCACCCTTTCAGTATTCTTTTCTTTGTTTTTGGCAACAGTTTTTCTTTCTCAAATACGCACAAGGTAATAATAGTATACTGTAGTAATTTCGAGTCCAGAGGTTTCCCAAACAGAAAGGCCCCTGGATAACCATTGAGTAAACAGAGAAGTAATATTAAGACATCTAGTAAAAATAATTGAACTCTAACTATTTAGAATTTGGAAGAGATCCAAATGAGACTTCACTATCCTTCAAATGTACCACAATGTATTACCATCGGATTTCATTCCAATCCCCAAAGGTATTGCAGAGTTGTGAGCTATACTGCCTGATTTGTTTAGTTGTTTTTTTTGTTTTGTTTTGTTGTTTTAAGAAAAAAAATTAATGTTGATTTTTATTTACAGATGAGATGTCTAGTTAGCATTGATGAGACGACATATGAAATACTATTGCCTCGCTTGGTGTCAAAAAAATATTCCAGGTGGGTTTGATTCTCATCGAAGGTCTTTATTACAGTACTGAATTGCTGCAGTGTTGCACATCAAAACTCTGAGGCCGGCAACCTGTGAATATATTTTTAGTTTTAAATTACGTGAGTGAAGGTTAGAATATTTTTGACTTTACTGCAACATGCAGCATTTCAAACACTTCTTTAGATCTGAATTCCTGGAATTCACAGATGCCTTGATCAAAAAAAAATCGAAAGACCTTCAGAGAAGAATGCCTTTCTAGACAACAAAATGCTCCATGGCTTTTTTTTTTTGTTTTCGTGGGTGCCTGTGTGTGTGTGCTCTGCAGAACCAGTTAGTTCTCTTTTCTTCACTTAAATAATTCCTTCATTAGTCATTCTGGGGTCTATTTTCCTCGAGTCGACTCATTTTACGGCAGCTTTCCTACATGTGATATTATTTCACTGAATAAACGTGGGATTGGAAACGCTTTCTTTTTTTGTCCTGCATCATGCATACTTGCAGCAAATCATTTTTAAACAGTTGAAGAAAAAAAAAACGAATAATAATGATAGTGGTGCAGATAAAGTATATTCATTAATCATTTATTGTAGCTAATTTCCATATTCTCTTTTTCCTGGCATGTCAAAGGATCGTTTGGCATCCGTTTGGACTTGTGTGCGAAAACGATGAAAGTGATCTAGAAGCAGTGGCGATTGGCCCCGGGGGAGCCATGCGTGTTGGAAGGGGGTTAAATTCATTATG